TGAGATACTGATACTAATAAATGATTACAACAGCAAAGGTATAGTAAGCTCTAGTTCAGACACTCATTCCAAAGAAAAATAGAACTAGGGCTATTTTGTTTATTGACACAAGGTACTAATAATATTGCTTGGACCTGTTGGAATGATGGTGAGAGTGGATAATGGGGCAATGGCAGAGAAGAGGAAGGAGACCTTCAAGTCACACAATAAAACATGGTTAACTTAGAGTTTTTCCTTCTTTTTTATTTCAAATTTTGTTTTTGAATCCTACAATGGGTATTGCTTTTAAGTTAACAGAACCTGGCCAGAACAATACAGCAGAAAATAATCTGATGAACTCTTATATTTAAAAAATAATGTAGAGATAATGTCAGTGCAGTAGAATGTAGACTGTAAGACAATAGCTTTATGTGGCATTATAGAAATAAAAAAATATATATGAAACAAAGATTGTCTTACAAGCAATAAATGAACTTGAAGTTCATGGACTTTTCCTCCTTAGAACACACACACTCACACACACTCTCACACACACACACACACACACACACTCGCACACTCACACATGCATGCACGCACATATATGTACCATAAATTACTATATATATGGCACAATTCAAGTCCTATTTGACAAAGACTGGGATTCAGGCAATTGGAATGGGGTGGGTAGGAAAAGTGTAAGGACCCAAAGATGCCCTGCGAACCTGGCCTATCTGAAGCTCTTCTTTCCCGCTGGGAAAATCTAATGACCCACTCCCAATTCAGCATGATTTGTGACTAAGGTCCACATGTGACTTAGGCCTAAGGACAACAGTAAAAAATTAGAGAGGGAAGAGATCAGTTATACCCAAAATGAATTCTAATAATTATCCATGCTATACTAGGAAAAGGCAGGAAAGACTGCATAGATTTGCAAGTGCTTGACAAGGAACTAAAATACCAATTTGGATCATGCAGAATTGGTTGCTATGGTGAGGCCTCATCTGAGACACTGTTCAATATGTTACTGCAGGACGAAGCTCTGATGGTTTGTTGGGTTGGCTGATTTATTTATTTTTATTTTTTTATTTTTTTAAAGATTTTTATTGGGGAATTGGGGGATGGGAACAGTGCTGGGGAATTGGGGGAAGGGGAACAGACAAGTTGCTGTCGGTTTTTT